TTTCAATTTTTAAATTGAATTTTTTTCAATTTTTTGAGTTTTCAGTTCTTCTATATTTCAATTTTTCAATTTTCGGATTTTTTTTTAATTTTCAATTTTCCAATTTATTTCTTAATTTTTCGATTTTCCAATTTTTCGATGTTTCGAAATATACAGATGTAGTCCAAAATCGAAAAATCGAAAAGTTAAAAATGGAAAAATTGATGAATCGAGAGATTGAACAATCAAAACATCGAAACATCCGAATCTTGATAAATTGAGATTTCAAAAAATTGAAAAATCGAAAATTTAAATTCGGGAAATTGGAAAATTATAATATAGAAGAATTGAATATTCAAGAAATCGAAAAATCAAAAATTTTAAAAATTGAAGAATTAAAATATCGAAAAGTTGAAAAATTGAGAATTCCAAATATAAAACAATCGAAAAATTGAAAATCTGAAGTTTAAAAACGAAAAACTGAAAAATCCGGAAGTCGAAAATTCAAAGAATCGAAATAATGAAAAATGCCAAAACTGAAAAAATGTGCAAAAATTGAGAAATTAAAAAAATTGGAAAATTGAGAAATCGAAAAATCAAAGAATTGAGAAACCGAAAAATCGAAACTTTGTTATTTTTTTTAATTTTTTGATGTTTGGAATTCTCCATTTTTCAATTTTGCGATATTTTAATTTTTCAGTGTTTTAAATTTTAGATTTTTAGATTTTTCAGTTCTTCAATATTTTTTAATTGTTCAAATTTTGACGGTTCTGAATTTTCAGTTTTCCGATTTCTCAATTAATCTGTTGTTTTATTTTTCCATTTCTGGACTTTCCATTTCGATTTTTCAGTGCTCCAGTTCTTCAATTTTTCAGGTTTTTGATTTTTCAATTTTTGGATATATGTATCGTTCAATTTTGTGATTTTTCAATTTTTCGATTCTTCAATTTTGGGAGTTTTTAGTTTTTCGACTGAAAATTTAGTAACATCAGAAATTGATAAATTGAAAAATAGAAATACTGAAGAACTGAAAAATCAAAAAATCCAGTAATTGAAAAATCTAAAAATTTAAAGCATTGAACAATTAAAATATCGCAAAGGTTTTTGATTTCTCAATTTTTCGATTTTTCAAGTTTGTAATATTTTGACTTTTCGATTTCTCAATTTTTCAGTTTTTTAACTGTCCAGTTTTTGGATATTTCGTTCAATTTTGTGATTTTTCAGTTTTTCGATTCTTTAATTTTTCTTCTATTCTTGAATTTTTCGATTCTTCAGTTTTCACTGTTTTATATTCCGATTTCTCAATTTTTCAACTATTCGATATTTTAACTTTTCAACTTTCAGAGTTTTAGGTTTTTCGATTTCTTGAGTTTTCCGTTTTTCTATATTTCAATTTTTCAATTTTCGGAATTTTAAATTTTCGATTTTCCAATTTATTTTTTAATTTTCGAATTTCCAATTTTTAGACGTTTCGAAATATAAATAGGCCAAACACCAAAAAATCAAAAAATGAAAATTCGAAAATCTAAAATTTAAAAATCGAAAAACTGAAAAATTGAAAAATCGAAACATCGAAAAATTCAAACATTGAGACATTCTGAAATCTAAAAATCAGAGGATCGAGAAATTGAAGAGTCGAAAGCCAAGAAGAAAAGTTAAAAATTGAAAGATTGATGAATCGAGAAATTGAATTATCAAAACATCTGAATTTCAGTTTTTCGATCTCTCGACTTCTTGATTTTTCGTCTCCTCGATTTCTCGATCTTTTGTCTCACTTTTTGAATTTTTCGATGTTCCGATCTTTGAATCATCTGATTTTTCAAATTTCCAGTTTTTAGATTTTCGAGTTTCGATTTCTCGACTTTTTTTAATTTTCGTATTGTTATTTTTTTGATTTTTTGATGTTTGGATTCTCCATGTTTCTATTCATGAGATATTCTAAATTTTCAATGTTTTAAATTTTAGATTTTTCGACTTTTCGATTTTTCAGTCTTTCAGTACTTTTTCATTCATCAAATTTTGACATTTCATAATTAATCAATTTTTTATTTTCCCATTTCTCGACTTCCCAGTTTCGATTTTTCAGTTCTTCAGTTCTTCAATTTTTCAGGTTTTTGGTTTTTCAATTTTTGGATTTTTTGGGTTCTGGATTTTTCGATTTCTCCACATTTTACTTTTTGGATTTTCAATTTGTAGTTTTGAAAACTAGATTGTTCAATTTTTCAACTTTTCAATTTTTAAAATTTTACGTTTTTTCGATTTCTTGAGTTTTCCGTTCTATATTTCAATTTTTTAATTTTCACAATTTTCAATTTTTCGATTTTCCAATTTTTCGATGTTTCGAAATGTAAATAGGCGAAAATCGAAAAATCGAAAAGTTAAAAATGGAAAAATTGGTAAATCGAGAGATTGAACAATCAAAACATCGAAATATCCGAATCTGTATAAATCGAGATTGCAGAAAATTGAAAAATCGAAAATTTAAAAATTCGGAAAATTGAAAAATTAAAATATAAAGGAACTGAAAATTCGACAAATCGAAAAATCTAGAAATTTAAAAATTGAAAAATCAAAATTTCGAAAAGTTGAAAAAGTGAGAATTCGAGACAGAACAGTCGAGAAATTTGAAGTTTAAAAACGAGAAACTTGAAATGCAAAAAATAAAAAACAAAAAATTGCAAAATCCGGAAGTCGAAAAATTGAAAAGTCGAAGAACCGAAATATTGAAAATTTGGAAAATTGAGAAATCGAAAAACCAATAAAGCCAAGTCGAAAAATCAAACAATTGAAGAACTGAAAAATCGAAACTTTGTGAAGTCAAGAAATGGGAAAGTCAAAAATAGATTAATTAAGAAATCAGAAAACTAAAAATTTAGCAACGTCAAAAATTGATAAATTGAAAAATAGAAATACTGAAGAATTGAAAAATCAAAAAATCGAGTAATTGAAAAATCTAAAAATTTACAACACTGAACAATTAAAACATCGGAAAATTGAAAGTTTCAATTTCTCTGTTCTTCAGTTCTTCAATTTTTCGATTTTTCAGGTTTTTGATTTTTCAATTTTTCGATTTTTCAAGTTTGTGATATTTTGACTTTTCGATTTCTCAATTTTTCAGTTTTTTAATTTTCCGGTTTTTGGATATTTCGTTCAATTTTGTGAGTTTTCAGTTTTTCGATTCTTCAGTTTTGACTGTTTTATAATTCGATTTCTCAATTTTTCAACTTTTTGATACTTTAACTTTTCAACTTTCAGAATTTTAGGTTTTTCAATTTCTTGAGTTTTCCCTTCTTCTATATTTCAATTTTTCAATTTTAGGAAATTTTAAATTTTCGATTTTCCAATTTATTTTTAATTTTTCCACTTTCCAATTTTTAGACGTTTCGAAATATAAATAGGCCAAACACCAAAAAATCAAAGAATGAAAATTCAAAAATCTAAAATTTAAACATCGAAAAACTAAAAAATCGACAAATTGAGAGATCGAAAGCCCAGAATAAAAAAAAATTGAAAAATTGAAAAATCGGATAACTGAAAAATCGAAACATCGAAAAACCGAGAAATCCAAAAATCGAAACTTCGAAAAATTCAAACACTGAGACATCCTGAAATCGAAAAATCAGAGGATCGAGAAAGCCGAGAAGAAAAGTTAAAAATTGAAAGATTTCGACTTCTTGACTTTTCGACTCTTCGATTTCTTGATCTTTTGTCTCACTTTTTGAATGTTTCGATGTTCCGATTTTTGAATTATCTGATTTTTCAATTTTCCAGTTTTTAAATTTTCGAGTTTCGATTTCTCGACTTTTTATTATTTTCGAATTGTTTTTTTGTTTTTTTGATGTTTGGATACTCCGTTTCTCTATTCATTATTTTACACTTTAAATTTTCAATGTTTTATATTTTAGATTTTACGATTTTTCAGTTCAATATTTTTAATTTTTCAACGTTTTAAACTTTATATTTTTCGATTTTTTAGTCCTTCAGTATTTTTTAATTCATCAAATTTTGACATTTCATAATTAATCTATTTTTTTATTTTCCCATTTCACGACTTCCCAGTTTCGATTTTTCAGTTCTTTAGTTCTTCAATTTTTCAGGTTTCTGGTTTTACAATTTTTGGATTATTTGGGTCCTGGATTTTTCGATTTCTCCACATTTTACTTTTTGGATTTTCAATTTGTCGTTTTTGAAACTAGATTTTTGAATTTTTCAACTTTTCGATATTTTAACTTTTCAATTTTTAAAATTTTAGGTTTTTTCGATTTCTTCAGTTTTCCGTTCTTCTATATTTCAATTTTTTAAATTTCACAATTTTTAATTTTTCGATTTTCCAATTTTTCGATTTTTCGAAATATAAATAGGCCAAAATCGAAAAATCGAAAAGTTAAAAAAAAAATGGTAAAAACGAGAGATTGGACAATCACAATTTCGAAACATCCGAATCTCGATAAATCGAGATCTCAAAAAATTGAAAAATCGAAAAATCAAAATTTCGAAAAAGTTTAAAAAACGAAAAACTGAAAATCCAAAAAATAAAAAATCGAAAAATCGAAGTCGAAGAATCTAAATATTGAAATATTCCAAATTGAAAAAATTTCCAAATGAGAAATTAAAAAAATTGGAAAATGGCAAAATCAAAAATTGATTAATTGACAACCCAGACAAAAAAATTTAGCAACGTTAAAAATTGAAAAACCGAAGTCTTGAAGTACTGAAAAATCAAAAAATTGAGTAATCGAAAAATCTGAACATTTAGAAAATTGAACAATTAAAATATCGCAATATCGATTTTTCTGGTTTTTGATTTCTTGAGTTTCTGATCTCTATCCTGTGCGACAGCTCTAATTTATATTATTGAAACCAAGGTCTTTGATAACAGTAGTAAAACAGTTAAAACTTATTTTACAGTTAATCCAATGGAATAAATTATATCTTACTGGTAATAATAAAAAATTGTCTTATGTATTATAGCTGTATTTATTTAAAAATTATAGATTTATTGTCACAATTGTTCAACAACACTACTCAAACAAGCTCCTGTGTAACCCTTGCTCTAGAATCTTCTTTTTCCTCAGTTCGCGCAAAATATCCCCCGTCGTGTCTTCATCATCTTCTGCCCTGAACAAATTAATGTACCGGCGATATTTCGCTTTTTCTATACTCTCCAGCTTGTCTTTAATCCGGGGATGCGTCCTAGCGCAGTAATTCAGATCCTCCGGTTCCAACTTGTACACTTCTACCATCTCCAGAGCCAGGACCGAGTACAAAATATTTTCAGCCCCGAACTCTTTCGGTTCGAGGATGTTTCCGAAGAAATCGCCGTCTTCGATATGCATCACCTCCTTCCCTCTAAGCGTTATTATCCCGCACGTCCCAAGAAGAATGAAGTAAATGCATCCCGTGTCCTCGGTGGAATTCAGGATCGTGTCTCCCGGCACGAAAATCTCTTGTTTCAACTGCGCAAGGATGCAGCCGACGTCGGACCTAGTCAGTCCCTTGAAGGCGTGCACTCGTTGGATCAGGTTCCGGCAGCTATAAAGAAGAACTTCCATTTTCAGGTGTTCGCTCAGAGTGCCCAGGACCTCTTGCTCGGAGAAAAACTTGTTGTTGTACTTGTAGTCGTAGTACTTGAAGATGCGCTTCTTCAGTTGTTGGGGAAAGGACTTGTGGACCATGTAGCTTTCGGCTTGTATTCGTAGCGATTCGAACTTCATTTCGGAGATGTTTAACACTCCGAAGAGCCTCAGGATTCTGGCTAAGCAGTAGATGTAGAAGGCCAGGCCGCTCATGAGTGTCAGAGATAAACTGAACCGTTCGATGTTGTCCCTGGTTCGGTAAATCGAAGTCCCGGCTCCGAAGAAGTGGCACGACGTCACCGTCATGTATAGCAAGTACAGGCGATGTGCGGGGATGTCGATGGTGTTCATATGGATATTCTTCGCGAAAGCTTGCTTAGCGGCGATCTTCTTGTACTCATGCAACCAAGACAGCTGACGAGGTACGTCGTAGAGTCTTTGGTAGACTCCGACTCGAGCGGCCAAGCAGGTTAAGTAGTGCAGCAACGTCAAACCCAACATCAAAAGCATGACAGGTACTCGAACGGTCTCCCGGACTCTGTGTTCCTGTAATAGGCCCGATAGTTTCCTGAAGAAGGTTGCAAGCCTCGGGAGCCTCGCCGCGTGCAACTGATACAGGAAAATTAGGGTTGATTTGTCAAACGTCGGAATGAAATAAAATAACATGTAGCCAATGGTAGCGACAAAGTCGAAGAAAAAAAAGGTCTTTAAGTAGTGGTGAACGATCAAGCGACGGTGCAAAATCACAGACCTCGTTGTGGCTACCGTGTACCCCGTACAGAACCGTATCCCTATATCCACGAGGAGAATAACGTTGATGATGAAGATTGCGTGAAGCATCGCCATCGACTTTCGAAAGTAGAGATCCTTTTCGTCAAACGTGCCAATGTACGACTGCAAAACTAGCGCGGAGAACCAGAACACCAGCATGACAATCTGCTTGCACTTCTCGAATTTACTGAAGGGGTGGATGATGAACCTGTAGTTCGCGTTGTTTAAATGTCGCCGCCTTTCATTAATGAACGCTGCGTAGCTTCGGACGTAGCTGCTATCGACACAATCGACGTCGATCGTTGTGAAGTTTAAGATCCAGAGGCACAATTTTTGGGAGAAAGTGGCATACGGAGAATTCGTGTTTTCCAATATCCTGGGGTCCTGCGGAAGGTCGCAACGGTGTTGCCTACTGAATCGCACTGGAAGAGGCATCTGTGGATTTTCGAGCCAAAGTTCAGAGTTTCGTTTCGACTTGAAAAATTTTTGTTTGACAGTGGAAACGTCACTGGTCAACTCTGTCGACGGTTTCGTGCGCATCAAGGAGTCGAACTTCATCTGTCAGACGAGTGTTATCGATGGATTTCTTCATACACGAGTGCTCACTGACCAAAGAAGAAAAAGGGGATACGATAAGGTCCCCTTACTCCTCTCGGTTACAAGCGGCCTTTTTCTGGTTTAGGGAAATCACAACGGTGGAGAGGAACGAGCAAAGTCGGAGGTATTTTCGAAGTATGGCTACGCTCTTGAAGGAGAAGAAGCGGCACTTGTTGACGAAGCAGTACGCCTACACCATACACCCATTCAGCAGGTTCGTGAAGTACAGACAAATGTTCATGTTTGTGGTGTTGTTCTTATCGCTGTGGTTGGATCCCTACTTGGGGTCCTTCTACGCCAGAGTGTACTTCGATCCGACAAGAGAGCGTATTCCTATCGACGGAGTGGTGGTGATTTTGACCTTCTGCCTCACCATTGATCTAGTCGTATGTTTCTTCATGGGATACAACGTCGACAAAACGCGGGAAGTGGTTTTGCAGCAGAAGATGATCGCCAAGAGATACCTGCGAACCTTCTTCTTCTTCGACTTCATACCCCTCCTCCAAACTTACCTGATGATTTTTTTTGGCAGACACATCTCCATAGAGGCCCGAATTTTTATATACACCTTCAAGAGCTTCCGCGTGGTACGATTATTCACCATGCTTCAGAATTTCATGACGGTGTTGAAACGCCTGAGAATTAAAGAGCTTCAGCGAAAAATCTGCGCCCTCGTGGTCTTAGCTTGCTTATTCCTACACTTCTGTGCTTGCCATATATGCTTAAGCGCGGAGCTTCGCGAAATATCGGGGTATGTGAAGTCGGACTCGTGGCTAAACCGACTCGAGGAATTCCGCGCCGCCAAAGTGCAAGCCCTCGATCCCACCGCTGAAGACCCGGTAATGCTGAAATACCTAGTTTTCATCAAGTACTACGGAACGATGTCCGACTACTTGGAGCACTTCCAAGTCGTCGTGTCCCACTTCATGGGCGCCGGCATCGGCCAGTACAAGACCCGCGACGAGCGCGAAATGATGATCTTCTCCATGCTCCTCATCTTGGGCTTGTTCTACTGGGTCGTGATGCTCGCCTACGTTCTTCAGATATACGGCACCACCAAAGTGTCCGAGTCCTCGTTCGAGGAGCTCCTGATGCACATGACCAACTACATGGTCCGCAACCGGTTCCCGCACAGACTCAAGAGACGCATCCTCAAGTACTACGACATCAAATTCAACAAGATGTTCTTCTCAGAAATCGCCATCCTGAACACGCTATCGGTCCATCTCCGGATGGAAGTCCTTCTTTACAGCTGTCGACACATGGTTTCGAGTGTGCACATCTTCAGAGGACTGTCCAGAGCGGCCGTGGGGAGCATGCTGGCCCTGCTCCGCCACGAGATTTACCTGCCGGGGGACATCATCATGTCGAACGACGACCCCCTGGAGACCAAGAAGCTGTTCTTCGTCGCGTATGGGACCTGCGCCATGCTGACCACTGGAGGGGTGGAGGCGACCCACATCGAAGACGGCAACCAGTTCGGGGAGATCGCGCAGGACGAGACCGACCCCATCACCGTGCTGTACACGGTGCAGGCGATCGAAGTCGCCGATATCTACTACCTCCGAGAAACGGACTTCCAGTACTGCTGCGCCCGCCACCCGGAGATCCTCCACAAGATGTCCGGGGTGCTGAAGCAGAAGATGGAGCAGTACACGATGATGGTCTCGGTGACGGAGGCGGGCACTGGCGGCTTCTACGGGGCCGACATCATCACCGAGCTGAGACTAAAAAGAATCCTGCATAGAGGCATCAGACGCGAGTTGATGATGTAGTTGCATATCATTTTCAATAAATAATAAAAATAAGTAAAATTTAGACGAACCTTCTCACCCGAAAAATCCCCTTTTTTGTCATTCGTATATCCACACACAAGAAATGTTTCGCTCCACAGGAGAACAAACATTAATCAAACCCCGTTTCTTATAAATCAAAGCTTTTTCCTCCACGCCACTGTAGCCGTTTCGCTTTAAAACTTCATAAGCAGTAAGGAAAGCGGCGGCACAAAGATAAGCGAATGAATGAAGTAATAAACCCAAGTTGCGTCAAAAAACGAGGAACTCCGAATGTGGAAACTTGAGGCAACTTCAGGCGGAACGAAAAAAATCTCCGAGGACGTGCGCGGAAAAAACAATGTGAAATTAACATCGGGGCGCCGTCGGACACGTTCTGGGTTTGAAGTGTAGAGCAAACGTTGCCTCCGGCGCAGAATTGTTTCTGCATTAGATCTTTTGCTCTTTTAGCTCGTTATAGTTGGGTTATTGTTTTTCAGTCGTAGAGGAGCGCGAACGAAAATGGAGTGAGAAAGTTTTCTGGGAAAAGGGAGTGAGCCGTTTCTGAGTTAAACAATAAAATAAATTTTGACATGAATAACACGTCTTGTCCTTCAGCAGTAGGTAATAGCAATCTGAAGCTGAAGTGTTTATTTATGTTTATACATCGAAACAATGTCACGTAGAAGTTAGTTTGATTTGAATGAGTTTGTCATCTCAAAACAGGACTAAAATTATTAATTAAACCACAATCGAACAAAATGTTCTGCATTATTATACCTTGCAAATGTTTTTGCGCAAATTTGAACGTTTAGCGAAAAAACTCAAAGTAGATTCGTACACATTATTTAAATACCATTCACTGAAATGGCGGTATCAAATTGTTAGTGGGGATGATTAGCCAAATTTCGGGTAGCATTTAATCATTCTATTACATTTCTAATATATTTGTATACAAAATTTGACAACAATCGGTCCAGCAGTTTCGGAGATTACGTGTCTAAAAAAATAGATACAGAGAGACAGAGAGACGGTAAGGGGGGACTACTTTTTTCGTATTGCAGGGGTCATGAAACGTCGAGAAAACAAAAAAGTGGCCATTCGTCGATTACACTCGATTACAATACTTCGCTCACGCTCGGGAAGTTAAAATATCATTATTGGAACAGGGGCTTCTGGAAACCAGCCCAAACAGGTTTAATTTTGTCAACAAAACCGAAAATGTCTTCAACTAGTTTTCGAAAATAGTTGAAATATGGTCGAAAATGTCATAAATGCCAAAATCATTCTTATGTTATCAAATACTAGCCCCGCCACCCACCCCCACTTTTCTTCGAGGGAATCTCATTTGCTAAAATCTGTCTTATCATATCAAGTACTAGCCCCGCCCACCCACCCGCTATTTTCTTAGAGAGTATGTCTTATATCCAGCGATTTTGATGGAACTGGAAAAATAGCTGTATTTGAATTGGTGATTTTTGAGCTCGACAGCTGTAAAAACTCCTTTTAGATCATTTTCAACGGTGCTCGAAAAAATTCAAAAATTCCATAAAATTCCATATTGAAAAACTGAACTTGTGGAAAAATTGACCAAAACTCCACCAAAAATTCTGGAATATAGTAAGATCTCGACAAGTTAATTCAAAAAACATACTCTGTTAATAGTCCCGGACAAAGATTATAGAGGTATTCATTTTCAAAAAAAAAAATTATAAATATTCATAACAACTACTATCATCTGCTATTTTGGCGATTCTGAAAAAATGGTAGAAACTTAATAATAATTTTCTACAAAATTTGTATACAGAGCTATTTTCAATTCAATTAGCGATTTTGGAAAAAACGGTAGGAATTTCCGAAGAAACGAAACCAAAAATGACTTCTGGATATCGTAATTTACAAGAAAATGTCTTCATCTAATTTTCGGAAATAGTTAAAAATTGGTCGAAAATGTCCAAAGCCTCGAAAACAGTTTTATCTTATCTAAGAAAATAGAGCGAGGGTAGGCGCTACGGCGCGGGTAATATCGAAAATGTCAAAAATGTCAAAATCTTTCGCATCTTATGAAATACTAGCCCCGCCCACCCAAACTCTATTTTCTTAGAAGATATGTCATTTGCTTAAATCAGTCTTATCTTACCACGTACTAGCCCCGCCCACCCGCCCTCTATTTTATTGGAAGGTTTGTCATTTGCCAAAATCAGTCTTATCTTAGCAAGTACTAGCTCTGCCCACCCGCTGAGTGATTTTGGCAAATGACAAACCTTCCAAGAAAGTCGAGGGCGGGTGGGTGGGGCTAGTACTTGGTAAGATAAGACTGATTTCGGCAATTGACATATTCTCTAAGACACTAGAGGGTGGGTGGCCGGGGCTAGTATTTGATAAGATAAGACTGATTTTGACATTTTTGACATTTTCGATCTTATCCGCGCCTTAGCGCCTACCCTCGCTCTATTTTCGTAGAAGGTATGCCATTTGCGAAAATCAATCTTATTTAACTAAGTACTAGTCCCACCCGCCCCGCCCCCCCTCTTCTCATTCTAACGACTAATTTTATTTCTGTTCAGTATAAGATCATTCATTTCATTCAGATCGCATAAAATCAATCACTGAAAATGAGATAGGGTGGGTGGGCGGGGCTAATCATGTTCTTCTGTCGAGTGGGTTTTGAAACTAATATTAGAATCTAGGAATTTATATATATAGTAGTTGAAAAATGGTCGAAAATATCAAAAGTGCCAAAATTAGTCTTGTCCTGTCAAATACTAGCTCCGCCCACCCACCCGCTATTTTCTTAGAGAGTATGCCATACAAAAATTTTATACCCAGCGATTTTGATGTAACTTTAATAGCTGTATTTGAATTGGTGATTTTGGAAAACCGGTACGAAATTTCGAAGAAACCAAGCCCCGAAAATTACTTCTGGTTAAAAAATGGTCTAAAATGTCAAAAGTGCCAAAATCAGTCTCATTTGACGATTTTTGAGCTCGACAGCTGTAAAAACTCCTTTTAGATCATTTTCAACGGTGCTCGAAAAAATTAACAATTCCATAAAATCACATATTAAAAAACTGAACTTGTGGAAAAATTGACCAAAACTCCACCAAAAATTCTGGAATATAGTAAGATCTCGACAAGTTAATTCAAAAAGATTATAGAGGTATTCATTTTCAAAATAATATTTATAAATATTCATAAAAACTATCATATGCTATTTTGGCGATTCTGAAAAAATGGTAGAACATTAACAATAATTTCCTAAAAAAATTTGTATACAGAGCTATTTTCAATTCAATTAGCGATTTTGGAAAAAATGGTAGGAATTTCCCAAGAAACGAAGGCAAAAATGACTTGTGGATATCGTAATTTACAAGAAAATGTCTTCATCTAATTTTCGGAAATTAGAAAATGTCCAAAGCCTCGAAAACAGTTTTATCTTATCTAAAAAAATAGAGCGAGGGTAGGCGCTAAGGCGCGGATAAGATCGAAAATGTCAAAAATGTTATAATCAGTCTTATCTTATCAAATACTAGCCCCGCCCACCCGCCCTCTATTTTCTTAGAGGGTAGGTTATCTGCCAAATTCAGTCTTATCTTATCAAATACTAACCCCGCCCACCCACCCTCTATTTTCTTAGAAGATATGTCATTTGCCTAAATCAGTCGTATCTTACCACGTACTAGCCCCGCCCACCCACCCACCTTCCATTTTATTAGAAGGTTTGTCATTTGCCAAAATCAGTCTTATCTTAGCAAGTACTAGCTCCGCCCACCTGCTGACTGATTTAATTAATAATAATTTCCTACAAAATTTTTATACAGAGCTATTTCCAATTCAATTAGCGATTTTGTAAAAAACGGTAGGAATTTACGAAGAAACGAAGCCAAAAATGACTTCTGGATATCGTAATTTACAAGAAAATGTCTTCAACTAATTTTCGGAAATGCTTCGTCGAAAATGTCAAAAGCCTCAAAAACAGTTTTATCTTATCAAATGCACAATTGAGATGGGGTGGGTGGGCGGGGTTAATAGTTTGCATTTGTTTCTTAATATACATAGTATTCTTTGAACAGCACGATACTCAAAATCATGTTTTTAATTTCTTGTGAAGAAATAAGTATTTTGCAGTTAAGCACCACCTCCTTGGTTCACGATGAATAAAAAAAATCATCAGAATTGCGATAGGGCGGGTGGGCGGGCATAAATTTGGTCTTTTTGTTTTAATATGTGTAGTATCCATATTTCCTTGAAACAAAAATTCTTGTTGTGAAAAGATGGCTATGTATATTAAGAAAAAAGAGCCAACTACAATTGTGTTAAAAAATATTTTCCGTCAAATAAGATTGAGACAAGAAATGCCAAAAGCACTTTAGTTTAGGCCACTTCTTAAAAATTGAAGAGAAGAACATACTTAAAACATGTTCAAAGGGGTAAATTTTTGTATAAAAATATGGATTTTGCATTTAAACTCCGCCCCTCTATCTGACAATGAATAAATAATTCATTACAACTGAGATAGGGGCGGGTGGGTGGGGTTTAATTTTTGGCTTCTTTTATTAATATATGTACCTATTTTCAACAACACCAAATACCTTTTAATATTTTAAGTATTTCTTGGTTGAAAGAAGGTTATGTATATGTACTAAGAAAAACAATTGATAAGCCCCACCTACCCGCCATATCTCGATTGTGATGAACCTTTTCATTCGTCCTGAGGCGGGGAGTGGAGAGAAGACTTGATGTATTTTTGGAAAAAATGTTTGAGGCGTCCCAATTGGAATTTCGTTTCCACATTCAAAATTTGTGAAGTGCTTATTCTGTCATGTGCTTTGTTTGGTTTAGAGTATTTACATTTATATTTTACATTTTCCTTATCACACATTCTATTGTTTCAATTTTTATCTAATGTGTCATTAAGCCATGTTGTACATGTATATGGCGAATAAAACATCACGATCACTATCAATATGAACAAGAAAAAACCCTTGGAACATAAGGTGTAGATCGAATAATTTGTAAAAAAAAGAAAATAACAATTTATCTGTTTTCTCACCAACGGTTTAATAGATTTGCCGAAGGTTCTAGTAAAACAATATTGTCAATAATTAACAGTATTGACTAGAATGAAGAGGGGGTGGGTGGGCGGGCCTACAGCTTTCCTATAAAAGTCTCTCTAGAGGAAAGTTAAACTTACGCCCGCCCACCCACCCGTTTTCTCATTTTGTTTTCTTCTCAAATAAGAAATAATACAGCAAAACGAATAGGACAACAAAAATGTTACGATTGGCGCTTTTTTTTCCACAGCCTAGTTTCTATGAGTTACTAACTCCGCCCAATCATCTGCGTCCATTTCGGTAATTAATTTTATAAAAAAAAAGTACTACCTCAATTAGAAAAGAAGAAGAGGAAAGTTAAAACATGTTTAAAATAGTAAATTTTTGTATAAAAATATGGATTTTGCAATTAAACTCCGCCCCTCTATCTGACAACGAATAAAAAATTCATTACAACTGAGTTAGGCACGGGTGGGTGGGGCTTAATAATTGGCATCTTTTCCTTAACCAATACCTATTTTTGACAACACGATATTTAAACCACAATTCCAAGTTCAAGTTTCCCATCTGATATTTAAAGTATTTTATTGTTAAAAGAAGACTATATATATGTACTAAGAAACTCAAAGGTTAAGCCCCACCCACCCGCCCCATCTCAATCGTGATTAATCTTTTTATTCGGCGTGAGGCGGGGAGCGGAGTTTCAATGCAATTTTCATATTTCTCTACACGAAAATACCATGTGGAACATGTTTTAAGTATGGTGTTGTTGAAAGAAAACTACACATATTAAGAAAATAAAGTCAAAAATTAAGCCCCGCCCTATCTCAATTGTGATGATTTTTTTTAATAGTCGAGGGCCAAGGAAACGGAATCTAATTGCTAAATCCTTATTATTTCTCTATAAGAAATTACCATGTAAGACATGTTTTTGAGAATATATATATATATATATATATTATGAAAAAATTAAAGTCAAAGATTAAGCTCCACCTATACCTGCCCTGATCTAAATAGTAATGAACTTTTCATTCGTTGGTAGACCTAGGGGCGGAGTCTAATTGCAAAATCCATTTTTCCTTACAAAATTTACCATCCTAAAGGTGTTTTAAGTTTCTAAGAATAAAAAAAAATCATCACAATTTAGATGGGATGGGTGGGCGGGGTTAATATTTCGCCTTTGTTTCTTAATATAGGTAGTATTCTTTGATCAGCACGATACTCAAAAACATGATTTAAATTTCTTGTAAAGAAATAAGTATTTTGCAGTTAAGCTCCGCCCCCTTGGTTCAGGGCGAATAAAACAAATCATCAGAATTGCGATAGGGCGGGTGGGCGGGCTTACATTTTGTTTTGTTTGTTTTAAGACGTGTAGACTTCTTTTTACAACATGAAACTTAAAACATGTTTAAAATGAAAAATTTGTTTAAGGAAATATCGATTTTGCAATTAGGCTCCGCTCCATAATTGCAAAATCCATATTTCCTTGCAAAAATGTACCATTTTAACCATGTTTTAAGTCTCTTGTTGTGAAAAGATGGCTACGCATATTAAGAAAAAAAAAAGCCAAAATACAATTGTGTTAGAAAATATTTTCCGTCAAATAAGATTGAAACAAGAAATGCCAACTTCAGTTTAGGTCATTTCTTAACAATTGAAGAGAAGAAGAAGAAGACATTTAAAACATGTTTCAAATGGTAAATTTTGGGAAAAAATAGGCATTTTGCAATTAAACTCCGCCCCTCTATCTGACAACGAATAAAAAGTTCATCACAAGTGAGATAGGGGCGGGTGGGTGGGGCTTAATTATTTGCTGCTTTTTCTTAACATATACCTATTGTCAACAACACCAAATACCATTTAATATTTTAAGTATTTTGTTGAAAGAAGACTATGTATATGTATCAGGAAAAGCAAATGAGAAGCCCCACCCACCCGCCCCATCTCAATTGTGATTACCCTTTTTATTCGTCCTGAGGCGGGGAGTGGAAAGAAGAGCATTACCCTTTTTTTGGAAAGACTGTTTGAGGCGTCCAAATTGGAAAATCGGTTCCACATTCAAAATTTGTGAAGTACTTATTCTGTAAACCCCTTTTTGGTTGGTTTAGGGTATTTACATTTATATTTTATCTGATGTGTCATTAACCCATGTTGTACATGTATATGACGAATAAAACATCACGATCACTATCAATATGAACAAGAAAAAACCCTTTAAACATAAGGCGTAGATCGAATAATTTGTAAAAAAAGATAATAATTTATCTGTTTTCTCACCAACGGTTTCATAGATTTGCCGAAGGTTCTAGTAAGACAATATTGTCAATAATTAATAGTATTGACTAGAATGAAGAGGGGGGGGAGGTGGGCGGGCCTACAGCTTTCCTATGAAAGTCTCTCTAGAAAAAAGTTAAACTTAGGCCCGCCCACCCACCCACCCGTTTTCTCATTTTGTTTTCTTCTCAAATAAGAAATAATACAGCAAAACGAATAGGACAACAAAAATGTTACGATTGGCGCTTTTTTTTCCACAGCCTAGTTTCTATGAGTTACTCCGCCCAATCATCTGCCACCATTTCGGTGATTAATTTTATATAAAAGAAAGTACTACCTCGATTAGAAAAGAAGAAGAGGAAACTTAAATAACTTAGAAAAATATGGATTTTGCAATTAAACTCCGCCCCTCTATTTGACACCGAATAACTAATTCATTACAACTGAGTTAGGGGCGGGTGGGTGGGGCTTAATAATTGGCACCGTGGTCTTAACCTATACCTATTTTCGACAACACGATATTTAAACCGTAATTCTAACTTCAAATCTACCATTTGATATTTGTAGTATTTTTGTTGTTAGAAGCAGACTACGTAATTTACAAAAAGAAAGTCAAAGAAAAGCCCCACCCACCCGCCCCATCTCAATCGTGATTAATCTTTTTATCCGTTAGAGGCGGAGAGCAGGAAACTACACAAATTAAGAAAATAAAGTCAAAAATTAAGCCCCACCCACCCGCCCCGATCTCTATTGTGACGAATTTTTTATTCGTTGTGAGATTGGGGGACGGAGCCTAACTGTAAAGTCCTGATGTATCCGACAGTACTTGCGTTTAATTTGTTTTCAACTATGGAAAAATTTTTGAACATTTGAAAAAGCTAATTCCTGAAAAAAATGTTAATTTAAAAACTCTATATTGACATGAAATGAAGCTTGATCGCCAAATTGTAAGTTTTAAATTGCCATTTTGTCATAATTGAGAAAGTCGGAGTATAATTGAATTCTTATTAGTTTGTAAATTCAAAAATCATGATAAATATAATTAATTCACTGTTGTTTTTGTTCGAATATACTTTAATTTTTAATCAACGGATGTTTTATTCCGTCTGTCTTTACTGGGGTACAACCGTACCGCGCAAAAACGGGATCAAATTTTGGTCAAACCTACCTCTGGATCTTCATTTCGAACGCAAAATTTTTTCTTGTTACGTCGCTAAGCTGTAAAATTTGTTTGACGTTTGGAGCGTCGTTCCCGAATCCAGCAATCCAGTGATGCGTTTTTCTCAAACGCTCGAAATAATTGGCAACTATAAAGAAGAACTTCCATCCGGCGAAGTTCGGAGAGTGTTTCAGAAGTAGGTGGTAGTGTTTGGGACGTGTTCTCAAGCGGAAGGTTTCGTTCTTGACTGCTTTGCGTCCACGACAAGTTCCCCGAATCCGACTTCAGTCGTAGCTGTCAAATGAAGTTTAAGCAACAAATACGACACGAATGTACCCTCAGCAAAGAACAAAAAGGGGATATCCTGAGGTCCCCTTACTCCTCCCCCATACGTAAATTATCTTTTTGGTATCAGAGCTTCAGAACGGTTGATAAGAGTGAGGAAAGTATCCCGTACTTTCGAAGCCAATGTGCTTTCCTCAAAGAAAAGAAGCGGCATTTACTGACTGAAGAGTATAAATCGATCTTGCATCCTTTCAGCCAGATTATTCGCAAAAAGCGAGTGATAATGTTCTTTATGTGGTTGACGTCGTTCGTGATGGACCCCTATTTGGGGACTTTCTATGCGAAGATTTACCTTCACCCCGACAGAGGAATACTACCGTTCGACTTCATCCAAGGAATTATGGCTTGTTTGTACTTGATTGACGTGATATCGCGATTTTATACCGGCTATTTCATAGAAATGACAGGAGTGGTGGTTCTGGAGCCGAAAAAAATCTACAATCACTACTTGAAGACTTACTTTTTCTTCGACTTTTTCGGTGTGGTGCACATGTTCTTCATGTTAGTGTTGCGTCGGTACTTGTCTTTGAGAGCCCAGGTGCTCATCTACCCTATGGTCAGCATCCGTGTAGTACGCTTAATAACGCTGTTGTATAACTTTAACGTAGTGTTGCGAGAATTCAGATGCCGCGAAGTTGCCAGGAAAATATACACGACGGTCCTCTTCTCCGTCTTGCTTATCCACTGGTCTACGTGTCTCATAGCTCTGGTGCCTGCGATTCGCGAGATCCACGACCACCTTAGCAGGGAGTCTTGGTTGGCATCCTTGTACATGAACCGCCAAAACATTCTAGTCGCCGAGGAAGCAAACGTAACCCGCGCCTTGGCATCCGAGATATTCTACGGCAGCTTCGTCGACTACCTCGACCACGTCCAGATCGTCATCTGCCACTTCTTCGGCGCCGGGGTCGGCGCATACAGAACCCACGACGCTCTCGAGAGAATGCTCTTCTCCTTCATCCTCATGGCGGGTCTCATGTACTGGACCACTGTGCTCGCGCACATCCTCCAGATTTTCGGGACCCTCAACATCTCGGAGTCGAAATTCGAAGAACTCTCCATGGAAGTGAAGCACCTGATGGTCATGAACCGGTTCCCCAAAAGGTTGAGAAAGCGCATCCGGAAATACTACACACTCAAGTTCGACAGAAAGTTTTTCTCGGAAACGATTATTTTGGACACGCTATCGGAACATCTCCGGATGGAAGTCCTTCTTTATAGCTGTCAGATTCTGATCGAGAAGGTGCAGATCTTCAAAGGACTATCCAGAGCCGCGGTAGGGAGCATGCTGGCTTTCTTGCAACAGGAGATTTATCTTCCGGGGGATGTGATCATGTCGAACGACGACCCATTGACCAGCAAAAAGCTGTATTTTGTTTTGTATGGGACGTGCATGGTAGTGGCGGCGGAGAGGATAGAAGCGATGCACATAGAAGATGGGTTTCAATTCGGGGAGCTGGCGCTGAGCGAACCGAATCGCATCCAGGTGTTGTACCAAGTGGAGGCGATAGAGCCGGTGGCGATCTACTATTTGGACGAACGGGATCTGGAATATTGCAGCCAGCATTATCCAGAGATCCATAACAAACTAGGTTTGTTGATGAAGATGAAGATGGAGAATTACAGGGGTATTATGTCGGTGGTGGAACTGGGGACGAGGAGGATATTCGACAACGACATTATCGCCGAACTGAGAATCGGGAGGATATTGCATCGCGGGGTAAAGCGAGAACAAGTGTCCTAGAGTCACCTCAGCATAATATTGACAGTTGTTTGCTTTAAATAAACGTTAAAAAAACTCGTTCTATTTATAGTCACGTCATTAATACGCGAGGAATTTTAACATCAGGACGAACGCGTTCAGCGCTCCGGTCGAAATTCCGGTCCGCAGGATAATTGATAGTGAATATGCAGGATACCCGCTCTATTGTTAGAACTCGCCGAAATAATTATCGATTGACCTTATCAAAAATGTATACGATTCCGGAAGTCCGGGCAAAAAGCAGAGATAGGTAGAAAAGTTGGAATAATAATAAGGTGTATTTATTTAAAAATGTCTTGATTGTCACAATCGTACAACACTAATCAAACGCTCTCCTCTGTAGCCCTTGCTCTACAATTCTCTTTTTCCTCAGTTCGCGCAAAATATCTTCTGTTATGTATTCATCATCCTGCGCGAACAGATTAATGTATCTTCGATATTTCGCTTTTTCCATTCTCAGCAGCTTGTCGTTGATCGTGGGATGCGTTGTGCAGCAGTAACTCAGATCCTTCGGTTCCAACTTGTACACTTCTACCATCTCCAGAGCTAATATCGAGTACAAAATATCGTCATCGCGTGGACTGATATTCCCGAAGAAATCGCCGTCTTCGATATGCGCCATCTCCTTCCCTTTAATCGATATTATCCCGCACGTCCCAAGAAGAATGAAGTAAATGCATCCCGTGTCCTCGGTGGAATACAGGAGCGTGTCTCCCGGTACGAAAATCTCTTGTTTCAACAGCGCCAGGATGCAACCGACGTCGGACCTAGACAGTCCCTTGAAGGCGTGCACTCGTTCGATCAGATTCCGGCAGCTATAAAGAAGAACTTCCATTTTCAGGTGTTCGCTCAGAGTGCCCAGGACGTCTAGCTCGGAGAAAAACTTGTTGTTGTACTTGTAGTCGTAGTACTTGAAGATGCGCTTCCTCAATTCGCGGGGAAAGGACTTCTGGACCATGTAGCTTTCGGATTGCATTCGTAGCGATTCGAACTTCATTTCGGAGATGTTTAACACTCCGAAGAGCTGCAGGATTTTAGCCAAGCTGTAGATGTAGAAGGACATGCCCATCATGAGTGTCAGCGATAAAGTGAACCGTTCGATGTTGTCCCTGGTTCGGTAAATCGAAGTCCCGGCTCCGAAGAAGTGGCACGACGTTACCATCAAGTACAGCAAGTACAGGCGATATCCGGGGATGTCGATGGTTTTCATATGGATATTTCTCGCGAAAAATTGTTTAGCGGCGATCTTCTTGTACTGGTGTACCCAGGACAGGTGGCTAGAAGTATCGTAGAGTCTTTGGTAGACTCCGACTCGAGCGCACATGCAGGTTAGAAGGTGCAGCATTGTCAAACCCGTCACCAAAAGCATGACAGGTACTCCAACGGTCTCCGGGACTCTGTGTTCCTGTAACAGCTCCGAGACCTTCCTTAAGAAGTTCGCGAGTCTCGGGAGCCTCGCCGCGTGTAACTGAAATAGGAATATTTGAATTGATTTATCGACGGTCGGAAGGAAGTAGAAGAACAAGTAGCTAACGGCAGCCACAAAGTCGAAGAAAAAGAAGGTCTTCAAGTAGTGGTACGTGACCATGCGACGGTTCAAAATCACAGACTTGGTCGTCTCTTCTTTGTACCCCGTACGGAATTGGATCGCTATATCCAGGAGGAAAACGACGTTGAGGAACAAGACTATGTGAGGGATCACCACCATCCTTCTAAAGTAGAGATCCTTTTCGCTGAAGGTGCCAAGGTACGACTGCAAAATTAGCGCGATGTACCAGAGCACAGCCATCACGAGTTGCTTGCTCTTCTCGAATTTACTGAAGGGGTGGATGACGAACCTGTAGTTCGGGTTGTCTAAATGCCGCTGCCTTTCCTTCATGAACACTGCGTAGCTTCGGACGTAGCTGCTATCGACACAATTCATGTCTATGGTTGTGAAGTTGATCACCCAGAGGTACAATTTTTCGGATAATGTGGCATACGGCGATTTTGAGTTCTCCTTTAATCTGGGGTCGCGCATGAACGCACATTCGTGTCGTGAACTGAACCGCGCTGGAAGAGGCATTTTTGAGTCAAAGTTTTCGGTTTGAAACAATTTTTGTTTGACGGTGGAAACGTCAACGTCACTAGTAAATTCGGTAAAGTTGCACCAGAATAGTAACGAATAGAGACCCTAGATATACTTTGGAAAAGAGTTGTGAAAAATTTAAATCGAAATATGTATTGAAAAATTGGTCTAAAGAGTTTAGACAGTACTTCCCTCGCTGTCGGAAACTTGACGACTGCATGCCTATTGTGTTTTTTTTTCTCATTACATTTTTGTAGTGGGAATTAAAAAAAAAAATGCGATGACGTCATCAACATTTTTGCAAGGACACGTATATCAGTTGGGATAGATGTAGTGTAATACTAAGAATAAAATTATTATATTCTCAAATTTTCAGGAAAATGAATTGGGTCGTTTTGAATATTGATTTGTAATAATCAATAAAATAACGAAACAATTTACTCACGTATACGGCAACTGAAAATCGTTTATGTATAAACATTCTTAATTTAAGATGACAGGCGTAACAGCATACGTGAGAGTCAAACAGATAAACTGTAAACAAAACGACCATCGGTTTTATTGCTTCGACTTCCGCTTATTATATAAAACATTGGGTTTTATTTTAATTCTTGACGGTGAAATTCACAATTGGTTGATTACAAACATGTCTATTTCACATTCGCGGAACCAAGTGAACGCATAAAACAAATGCAGGTCTGTAATGTTAAAGTCGATGTAAATAAGCGTGCTACCCTTATGTTTCAACCGAGTTTTTCCTTTAACAAATTTTGTGTCTACCAAATTGGGTTGGTTGGGGTGTAATACTAATAATAAGTGTTGCCTTTAATTTAATCAATAAAATAAATTGACTTCATTAATTTTTTTGAACCACCTCTTAAGAAAATCTAAAAAATATGAATGGAATGATAAATCACAAGTACAAACTCATCATATTTTTTGCATTTTAGATAGGATTTATTCAGCAAAATTTAAGGGTGACGTCATCAATTTTTTAGGAGGGATGAACAAATACATTTTGAACAAAAATTTACCATGCTTATAATAACTTTAAAATATTCCCAAGATTTCAAAGCATTCGGTTTTCTAATTCCTGATTAAATCGATAAAATAAATTCACGCCTTCATTAATTTTTTTGAGTCACCCTGTATATGCAAATCGAAAAAATTTGAATGGAATGATAAATCACAATAAGAGACTCACCATATTTTGTACATTTTAGATAGGATTTTTTCAGCAAAATTTTGTGGTGACATCATAAATTTTTTAGGGGGGACGACCAAATACGTTTTGATCAAAAATTTACCATGCTTATGATAATTTTAAAATATCTTCAAGATTTCGAAGCATTCGGTTTTGTAGTTCCTGAGTAAATCAGTAAAATAAATTTACGCTTTCATTTATTTTCTTGAATCACCCTGTATATGCAAATCCAAAAAATATGAATGGAGTGATAGATCACAAGTACAGACTGATCATATTTTGTACATTTTAGATATGATTTATTCGGCAAATTTTCGAGCTGACGTCATCAAGTTTTTGGAGGGGATAAGCAAATATATTTTGACTAAACATTTATTATGCTCTTTATGACCTTAAAACATCTGCAAGATTTCAGAGCATTCGGTTTTGTAGTTCCTGATTAAATCAATAAAATATATTTACGCATTCATTAATTTTTTTGAGTCACCCTGTATATGCAAACTCAAAAAATATGAATGGAGTGATAGATCACAAGTACAGACTCATCATATTTTGTACATTTTAGATATGATTTATTCCACAAACTTTTGAGCTGACGTCATCAAGTTTTTGGAGGGGATAAGCAAATATTTTTTGACTAAAGATCTATGATGCTCTTTATAGCCTTAAAACATCTGCAACATTTCAAAGCATTCTGGTTAGCAGATTAAAAATTAAATTTCAAAATGTTGTTTTATAATTTTGATTTTTTTTCCAAAAATCTGGACGTTTCGGGTGAAAAGTCGATTCAGAGTTGTAAACTACATGTGTAGGACTATGTTATTTTATACAATTGAAAACCCATTTACTATGTACAATTTTGAAGTGACGTCATCGCTTTAGTGGTGGGGATCATTAGACAAATTTTGGTTAGCGTTTTACCATCTACATGATATTCTTAATATAAGTACAAAATTTCACAACAATCGGTCGAGTACTTTCGGAGATTATCTGTCTAATAAAAATCCGGGACAACAGACGGACAGACGGACGGACAGACGGACAGACGGACGGACAGACGGACAGACGGACAGACGGACAGACGGACGGACAGACGGACAGACGGACAGACGGACAGACGGACAGACAGACGGAAATGGGAGACCTATTTCTTCGTCTTCTAGGGGTCATGAAAGATCGAGAAAACGTAAAAGTAGAGAGTCGGCCGACGGACTCGATTACAATACTTCCTTTGCTTACGCTCGGGAAGTAAAAAGGGCAAAATATAAGCCCATACATCGCGTTTTTCTCAAGATGTACTTGAAAATGTATTTGGTCAAATGAGACTTCGTCAAAAAGTTCCCAACGCTTTACAATGCAGACAAATTTTAAAAAACATATGTATTTTTCAATTTTTCGGCATGAAAATTTCAGAAGGTAGTTATCTAAATGAAAATGATTCTAATTTATTAAATAGTGACTTATTACTATTAGCTAATCCAGAGCACGATAGTAACTTACACAATTTTGATAACATGCACACTAACAAAATTCAAATGATACAGTGTCAACTTCCTAATAATTGGAATGACAACAGCCCTGAATTAAACAAGACACATCAAAATTGTTTGCATAATTCGGCAGGATATATTCTAAAAAGACTTAGGAAAAAATTGGTCTAAAGTGTTTAGACAGTACTTCCCTCGCTGTCGGAAACTTGACGACTGCATGCCTATTGTGTTTTTTTTCTCATTACATTTTTGTAGTGGGAATTTAAAAAAAATTGCGATAACGTCATCAACATTTTTGCAAGGACACGTATATCAGTTGGGATAGATGTAGTGAAATACTAAGAATAAAATTATTATATTCTCAAATTTTCGGGAAAATGAATTGGGTCGTTTTGAATATTGATTTGTAATAATCAATAAAATAACGAAACAATTTACTCACGTATACGTATCAGAGGCAACTGAAAATCGTGTATGTATAAACATTCTTAATTTAAGATGACAGGCGTTACAGCATACGTGAGAGTCAAACAGAGAAACTGTAAACAAAACGACCATCGGTTTTATTGCTTCGACTTCCGCTTATTATATAAAACATTGGGTTTTATTTTAATTCTTGACGGTGAAATTCACAATTGGTTGATTATAAACATGTCTATTTCGCATTCGCGGAACCAAGTGAGCGCATAAAACAAATGCAGGTCTGTAATATTAAAGTCGATGTAAATAAGCGTGCTACCGTTATGTTTCAACCGAGTTTTTCCTTTAACAAATTTTGTGTCTACCAAATTGGGTTGGTTGGGGTGTAATACTAATAATAAGTGTTGCCTTTAATTTAATCAATAAAATAAATTGACTTCATTAATTTTTTTGAACCACCTCTTAATAAAATCTAAAAAATATGAATGGAATGATAAATCACAAGTACAAACTCATCATATTTTTTGCATTTTAGATAGGATTTATTCAGCAAAATTTAAGGGTGACGTCATCAATTTTTTAGGAGGGAAGAACAAATACATTTTGAACAAAAGTTTACCATGCTTATAATAACTTTAAAATATTCCCAAGATTTCAAAGCAATCGGTTTTGTAATTCCTAATTAAATCGATAAAATAAATTCACGCCTTCATTAATTTTTTTGAATCACCCTGCATATGCAAATCCAAAAATATGAATGGAATGATAAATCACAAGTACAGACTCATCATATTTTGTACATTTTAGATACTATTTATTCGGCAAACTTTTGAGCTGACGTCATCAGTTTTTTGTAGAAGATAACCAAATATATTTTGACTAAAAATCTATTATGCTCTTTATAACCTTAAAACATCTGCAAGATTTCAAAGCATTCGGTTTTGTAGTTCCTGATTAAATCAATAAAATAAATTTACGCATTCATTAATTTTTTTGAGTCACCCTGTATATGCAAATCGAAAAAATTTGAATGGAATGATAAATCACAAGAAGAGACTCACCATATTTTGTACATTTTAGATAGGATTTTTTCAGCAAAATTTTGTGGTGACGTCATAAATTTTTTAGGGGGGACGACCAAATACGTTTTGATCAAAAATTTACCATGCTTATGATAATTTTAAAATATCTTCAAGATTTCGAAGCATTCGGTTTTGTAGTTCCTAAGTAAATCAGTAAAATAAATTTACGCTTTCATTTATTTTCTTGAATCACCCTGTATATGCAAATCCAAAAAATATGAATGGAGTGATAGATCACAAGTACAGACTGATCATATTTTGTACATTTTAGATATGATTTATTCGGCAAATTTTCGAGCTGACGTCATCAAGTTTTTGGAGGGGATAAGCAAATATATTTTGACTAAACATTTATTATGCTCTTTATAACCTTAAAACACCTGCAAGATGTCAGAGCATTCCGTTTTGTAGTTCCTGATTAAATCAATAAAATATATTTACGCATTCATTAATTTTTTTGAGTCACTCTGTATATGCAAATCCAAAAAATATGAATGGAGTGATAAATGACAAGTACAGGCTCATCATATTTTGTACATTTTAGATATGATTTATTCGGCAAACTTTCGAGCTGACGTCATCAAGTTTTTGGAGAGGATAAGCAAATATATTTTGACTAAACATTTATTATGCTCTTTATGACCTTAAAACATCTGCAAGATTTCAGAGCATTCGGTTTTGTAGTTCCTGATTAAATCAATAAAATATATTTACGCATTCATTAATTTTTTTGAGTCAGCCTGTATATGCAAATCCAAAAAATATGAATGGAGTGATAGATCACAAGTACAGACTCATCATATTTTGTACATTTTAGATATGATTTATTCCACAAACTTTTGAGCTGACGTCATCAAGTTTTTGGAGGGGATAAGCAAATATTTTTTGACTAAAGATTTATGATGCTCTTTATAGCCTTAAAACATCTGCAACATTTCAAAGCATTCTGGTTAGCAGATTAAAAATTAAATTTCAAAATGTTGTTTTATAATTTTGATTTTTTTTCCAAAAATCTGGACGTTTCGGGTGAAAAGTCGATTCAGAGTTGTAAACTACATGTGTAGGACTATGTTATTTTATACAATTGAAAACCCATTTACTATGTACAATTTTGAGGTGACGTCATCGCATTAGTGGTGGGGATGATTAGACAAATTTTGGTTAGCGTTTTACCATCTACATGATATTCTTAATATAAGTACAAACGTTTCACAACAATCGGTCGAGTACTTTCGGAGATTATCTGTCTAATAAAAATCCGTGACAACAGACGGACAGACGGACAGACGGACAGACGGACAGACGGACAGACGGACAGACGGACAGACGGACAGACAGACGGAAATGGGAGACCTATTTCTTCGTCTTCTAGGGGTCATGAAAGATCGAGAAAACGTAAAAGTAGAGAGTCGGCCGACGGACTCGATTACAATACTTCCTTTGCTTACGCTCGGGAAGTAAAAAGACTTAGGAAAAAATGAAATGCCAAATATGCTTAACATTTTTATTAACAGAAAATAATTTAATAAAGCCTTTTACAAAATTGGTTCGATTAAAGGAATATCGTCCAGGATGTCTAAATTTTCCCTCGGAATCGTCGTTTACACTTTTTTTAAGATTGGAACATATTTTTCTAAATTTGTGTAAACATCTTCCAGAAAAGAATTTTGATTTTTTGAAGTACTATAAATACTACGTTTTTAAAGATTCTTTTGTTAAAAACATTTTTTTCCCTTCTTGTCATACAGTAAAACACAAAATTATAAATATGTTTTGTTTATACCGAATTAGAATTTATTTACGTTGGGGACAGCGAAAGTACTTAATAGGTACAGAATGGTGTCCCAATTTAACTGCAAGTTGTGACATAATCTCATGAAGTGTAATGATTATTCCGTATTTTCCTATTTTACCTGAGATGCCGGTTGCAAGTTGTAAGAAGTATTTAACTGCATAACATTTATTCTTAATATACAAGGTCCTGTCAGTGTGAGTACTGTCAACAAAATTTCAAAGACTAACTATTTCGAGCTCTACGGTCTACGCCACTGTTTGAAAATTTAACTTAACCTATAAATTTATTTTGAAGTTTTTGAAACTAAATTACTAAATTAGATATTTCCGTGTCACAACTCTTTTCCAAAGTATATCTAGGCTCTATAGTAACGAATAGTACGAATTTCGTCTGGACACTACGTTCAGTTTGGATCAAGGAATCGAACTTCATCTGTCAGACGAGTGTTATCGATGGATTTCTTCAGGCACGATTGCTCACTGACCAGAGAAGAAAAAGGGGATATTATAAAGTCTCCTTACTCCTCTCGGTTACAAGCCGCCCTTTTCTGGTTTAGGGAAATCACGACGGTGGAGAAGAACGAGCGTAGTCGGAGGTATTTTCGAAGTATGGCCACGCTCTTGAAGGAGAAGAAGCGGCACTTGTTGACCAAGCAGTACGTCTACATCATACACCCCTTCAGCAGGTTCGTGAGGTACAGGCAAATGTTCATGTTTGTGGTGTTGTTCTTGTCGATGTGGATCGATCCCTACTTGGGGTCCTTCTACGCCAAAGTGTACTTCAATCCGAAAAGAGGGCGTATTCCTGTCGACGGGATAGAGTTGCTTTTGGCCATCTGTTACACCATAGATCTAACTGTATGTTTCTTTATCGGATACGACGTCGAGAAAACGCGGCAAGTGGTTTTGCAGCAGAAGATGATCGCCAAGAGATACCTGCGAACCTTGTTCTTCTTCGACTTCATACCCCTCCTCCATGCTTACATTGCGTTTTTCTTTAGGGGATACATTTCCACAGAGATCCAAGTGCTTATATATACCATGAAGAACCTCCGCATAGTACGATTATACACCATGACTCAGAATTTCATGACGGTGTTGAAACGCCTAAGATTCAAAGAGCTGCAGCGAAAAATCTGCGCCTTCGTGCTCTTAGGTTGCTTATTTCTACATTTCTGTGCCTGCCATATATGCTACCTTGCGGTGACGCACGAACTATCGGGGTATGATAACTCGGACTCGTGGCTACACCGTCTCGAGGCATCCCGCGCCGTCAAAGTGCAAGCCCTCGATACCGCCGTTGAAGACCCCGTACAACTGAAATACCTCCTTTTCATCCAGTACTACGGAACCTTGTCCGACTACTTGGAGCAGTTCCAAATCATCGCGTCCCATTTCGTGGGCGCCGGAATCGGCAACTACAAAACCGGCGACGAGAGCGAGATGATGATCTTCTCCCTGCTGCTCATCACGGGCTTGCTCTACTGGATCGTGATGATCGCCCACGTTCTCCAGATGTTCGGCGCCGCTAAAGTGTCCGAGTCCTCGTTCGAGGAGCTCCTGATGCACATGACCAACTACATGGTCCGCAACCGGTTCCCGCACAGACTCAAGAGACGCATCCTCAAGTACTACGACATCAAATTCAACAAAAAGTTCTTCTCAGAAAACGCCATCCTGAACACGCTATCGGACCATCTCCGGATGGAAGTCCTTCTTTATAGCTGTCGACACATGGTTTCGAGTGTGCACATCTTCAGAGGACTGTCCAAAGCGGCCGTGGGGAGCATCCTGGCCCTGCTCCACCACGAGATTTACCTGCCGGGGGACCTCGTCATGGCGAACGACGACCCCATGGAGACCAACAAGCTGTTCTTCATCGCGTACGGGACCTGCGTCATGCAGACCAAGGCAGGAGTGGAGGCGACCCACATCGAAGACGGCAACCAGTTCGGGGAGATCGCGCTGGACCAACGCAACCACATCAGCGTGTTGTACACGGTGCAGGCGATCGAAGTCGCCGAGATCTACTACATCCACGAGAAGGACTTCCAGTACTGCTGCGCCCGCTACCCGGAGATCGTCCACAAGATGTCCGGGCTGCTGAAGGACAAGTTGGAGCAGTACAGGAGGATGGTCTCGTTGGCGGAGGCGGGCACTGGCGGCTTCTACGGGGCCGACATCATCACCGAGCTGAGACTGAAAAGAATCCTCCACAGGGGCATCAGGCGCGAGTGGATGATGTAGTTGCATATTAGACATTTTCAATAAACATTCGTGTAGTCGTTTTTGATTTCATTAAACATATGTTAAACGCGCCAATTATCTTATCAGATAACCGCTTAACTACACGCAAGCTGTCCGAGCGTTTCCCCTTGTTTGTACGCTGCTTCGCTGTTGATTTATATTATCCCCTCGGAGCAATTTTTGATTCATATTCAAATACTTTCCAGAAGGCGTTCTTTCAGAAATAAATTAACTTGGCGTGTTTTCGCTGTAATTCCATTCGCCGCTTCGGAATACAATAAGCAGTTGTAAATGGCGATCGGAATTTTTCGAGCGAGAGGGATGGAACGGAAAGAACATAAGTCACGTCTAAACACCACTCGTCCTGTATTATGATTGATGGTGACGGTTTGAAAGCATTGTCAAACGACTTAATGGCTCAATAAATATTAATGCGGCGGAGAGGTGATCCCTCTTGTGTCGCAGGGAAAGGGTGATTAAAAAAGACGGGGGTAAGGAAAGCGGAAGGGATGGGCGGCTTTAAGGTTTGCGTGTGAGCGCCAATTTTAGCAGATGATATTTGTCTATTTTTGAATAGAGCTTTTTTCCAAATTCATAATGTAGCGCAATCATACATTATTTTTTTAATTTATCAAAATTTTAAGTAAATGGTTCCGTATCATGTCGTCTAGATGTGACATATCGGCTATTAACAAATCTAATTTACGTGAAGACAAAAACACTCTGAAACTTTTGCAGGAAATTATTGCTTAATTAAAAAATATCATTATTGGAAGCCATATTTTAGATCATCAGGAGTACTTTTCAGAAATTTATAACCTCTAACGTTTAGTTAACTATTGCCTTTTTTTCTTAATCTACATCTATTTTCGACAACACGATATTTAAACCATAATTTTAACTTCAAATTTATCATTTGATATTTTAAGTATTTTCTGATATTTTAATTTTTCAATTTTTAAAGTTTTAGATTTTTCGATTTCCCCAAGTTTCATTTCAGTTCTTTGACAATTCAATTTTTCGAATTTTTGAAATGTTTTTCAATTTTTCGTTGTTTTACATATTTGCTTTTTGCAATTTTTCAAATCTGAATTTTATAAACTGAGTTTTTCTATTTTTCATTTCTTCAATTCTTTAATTTTTAAATTATTTTTTTTAAAAGTTTTTGATTTTTCAATTTCACTTATTGTTTGAATTCTCAATCTTTCAATTTTTTAATTTCTCAGTTTTTGGATATTTCAATTCTGAGAATTTTTAGTTTTTCCATTCTTCAGTTTTTTTTTATTTTTCAATTTTTCGAAATTTCAGTTTTGGGATTTGTCAGATTACTTATTATTCAATTTTTCGATTTTACAATTACTCAGTTTCTCAATTTCTCGATTTTTAAATTTTTCGGTTTCTCAGTTTTTTCAATTTTTTAAATTCTCAGTTTTTGGGTATTTCAGTTTTGGGATTTTTCAGTTTTTCCATTATTCAGTTTTTCTTTCATTTTTCAATTTTTCGATATTTCAGTTTTCCGATTTTTTGATACTTCGATTCTTCAACTTTTTGATTCTTGGATTTTTCATTTCAATTTTTCTATATTTCAATTGTTTCAAATTCTTAATCTTTCGACTTTAGATTTTCTGTTTTTCAATGCTCAATTTTTCCAAATTTTCGGTTTTTCAATTTGTCAAATTTGACGTTTACAAACTCACAATTTTTCGATGTTTAGATTTTCCGATTTCTTGATTTTCGGGTGTTTCGATTTCGTGTTCTTGGATTCTTCAATTTTTCGAGTTCTTGATTTTTCAATTTTTCGATTTATTTTATGGTTTCGATTTTTTGAATTCACTTTTTTGATTTTTCGATTTCACAATTCTTCAATTTTTTTGATTTTCAGTTTTTGGATATTTCACTTTTGGGATGATTCAATTTTCGATTTTTGACTCTGGATTTTTCAATGTGTCAATTTTTCAATTTTTAGATTTTGCGGTCTCTCGATTTTTCATTTCATTTCCTCGATATTTCAGTTTTTCAATTTTACGAATTTTTCAAATTTCTATTTTTCAATTTTTCAAATTTGTCTTTTGCAAACTTCCAATTTTTCAATTAATCCATGTCTTGATTCTTCAATTTTTTAGATTCTCAGTTTTTGGAAATTTCAGGTTTTCTTTCATTTTTCAATTTTTCGAAATATTAGTTTTGGGATTTCTCAGTTTATTACCTATTCAATTTTTCAATTTTTGGGTGTTTCAATTTTACGATTTTTAAATATTTCGATTTTTCAATTTTTCAAATTTGACTTTAATAAACTTTCAGTTTTTCGAATTTTCATTTCTTCAATTCTTCAATTTTTCAATTTTTTAGGTTTTTGATTTTTCAATTTTTTAATTTTACAGCTTTTGGATATTTTAGCTTTGAGATTTTTCAGTTTTTCTTTCACTTTGGATTTTTCAGATTATTTATTATTCAATTTTTGGATTTTACAATTTCCCAATTTTTCAGTTTGTCGGTTTTCCAATTTTCCTCCTCTTCAATTTTACGATTTTTAAATATTTCGATTTTTCGATTTTTCAATTATTGACTTTTCTAAGTTCGCAATTTTTTGATTTTTCAAATTAAACGATGTTTTGATTTTCCCATTTCTTGATTTTCGATTTTCCAGTTCTTCGATTCTTCAATTTTTCAAATCAATTTTTCCATTTTTTGACTTCTCGATTCCTCGATCCTTTGATTTTCGATTTCTCGATTTTTCGATTTTTTACGTTGCGGATTTTCGGTTTTTCGATTTTCCTGTTTTACAATGTTTCGATTTTTCAATTATCCGAGTTTTCAATTTTTCAATTTTTTAAATTTTGGATTTTCGATTTTTCGTTTTTCGGTTTTTAAATTTTATATTTTCAAATTTGTTGAACTCGAAAATCGAAAAATCAAAAGCGAGTAACCAAAAAATCGACACATCCAAATAACGAAAAACAGAAATACCCTACAATCGAAAAATCCAAAAGTTAAAAATTGAAAAATTGAAAATTTAAAACTAAAAAAAATCGATAAATAGAGAAAAAGCTGAACGAAATTAAACAGTTTTAAAAATCGAAAAATTGAAAAACCGAAAGATCGGGAAATCGAAACATCAATGAACTGAAAAATCAAACATTTAAAAAATTGAAGAAAATATAAAAAAATTGAAGACTTGAAAAATTGAAAAATCGGGAAATTGAAATACAAAAAAAATCGAAAAATCAGAAGATCCAGAATCGAAAAATTGAGAAATCGAAAAGTTGAAATATCGAAAAACTGGAAAATCGAAAAAACTGAACCTAAAAACTGAAGAATTCCAAAAAAATGAGAAATCTAAAAAATTGGAAAATTGAAAAATCAGAAAACTGAAACATCGAGAAATTAAAAATTTCCAAATTGAAATCAGGAAGAATCGAAAAATCTAAAACCTGAAAAGCCGAAAAGTCCGCGAAATCAAATATCGAAAAATTGTAAAACTGAAACATCGAAAAATCGAAAAATGGAAAATTCGGGACTTCGAAAAATCCGATAAATCGAAAAGTTGAAAATGAAAAATTGAAAACTAAAAATTACAAAAATTTAAAAATGGAAAAATAAAAAATCGGTAAATTGAAGAATTCCAAAACTGAAATGATGAAGAATTGAGAAATTAGAAAACTGGAAAAGTGAAAAATCGACGCGCCGAAATCGAGAAATTAAAAAGTCGAGAAGTCGGAAAATATCGCAAAAAAATGAAAAATTAAAATATAGAAAAATTGGAAAATCCACAAAATTGAAATATCAAAAAAATCGAAAAAGCAGAAAATTCAAACATCGCAAAAGTGAAAAATCGAGAAAAATTAAAAAATCTAAAAACTGTAAAATGCCAAAAATAAAATATCAAAAAATTGACAAATCTAAAAATTGGAAAATAAAAAACCAAAAAATCGAGAAACCGACAAATTAAAAAGATGAAAATTGAAAACAAAAAATCGATAAATAGAGAAAAAACTGAAGATTTTTAAAAATCGAAAAATTGAAAAACCGAAAAATCAAAAGCTGTGAAGTGGAAAAATCGGAAGATCGGGAAATCGAAACATCAATAAACTGAAAAACCGAGAAATGGAAAAATCTAAATTCAAAAAATTGAAAAAAATATAGAAAAATTGAAGACTTGAAAAATTGAAAAATCAAAAAACTGAAACATCGAGAAATTAAAAATTTCCAAATTGAATTCAGGAAAAATCGAAAAATCTAAAACCTGAAAAGCCGAAAAATCCGCGCAATCAAATATCGAAAAATTGAAAAACTAAAACATCGAAAAATCGAAAAATATAAAATTCCAGACTTCGAAAATTCGGCAAATCGAAAAGTTGAAAATGAAAAATAGAAAACTAAAAATTATAAAAATTTAAAAATAAAAAAATAAAAAATCGATAAATTGAAGAATTCCAAAACTGAAATGACGAAGAATTGAGAAATTAGAAAACTGGAAAAGTGAAAAATCGACACGCCGAAATCGAGAATTTGAAAAGTCGAAAAGTCGAAAAATATAGCAAAAAAATGAAAAATTAAAGTATATAAAAATTGGAGACTTGAAAATTTGAAAAATCCACAAAATTGAAATATCAAAAAAATCGAAAAAGCAGAAAATCCAAAAATTGTAAAAGTGAAAAATCGAGAAAAATTGAAAAATCTAGAAACTGAAAAATGCCTAAACTAAAAAATCAAAAAATTGAAAAATCTAAAAATTGGAAAATTAAAAAACTAAAAAATCGAGAAACCGAAAAATTAAAAAAATGAAAATTTGAAACAAAAAAATCGATAAATAGAGAAAAAACAGAACAAAATTAAACATTTTTAAAAATCGAAAAATTGAAAAACCGAAAAATCAAAAGCTGTGAAGTGGAAAAATCGGAAGATCGGGAAATCGAAACATCAATAAACTGAAAAATCGAGAAATGGAAAAATCTAAGATTTAAAAAATTGAAAAAAATATAGAAAAATTGAAAAATCGG